CGCCAGCCGGAGGGGGCGGGAAGCGTCCGGATTTCAGCAGGCGATTTGGCAGTCCCCGAGAGGACAGGAAATGGAGCCTGTAATTTAGGTTGCAGAGAGGGGGAATGGCCGAGACCCTTATTTTCGGTATCGTTTCTTCCTCCCCGTTTTAAGGCGCTGCAGGTTCTGTAGAAATCGGTCTCGAGGACCCTCCTAAAGTGTGTTTGGCTAGGGGGAGAGAGAGGAGGGAAAGGGATGGGGGAAGGGTTTGGTCTTGCAAAAGATGCTTGATTGATTATCAGACCGTTTAGACGCGGTCACGGGACTTTCTGTTTGTGACACAGCCTCCAACACCAGAAAATCCTGTCAAAAAAGGGGTGTGGAGAGCACTGGCGTCAGCTGGAAGCTACCAGAGGCCTGAACGTTTCATCCCTATTAGGGAAATGAGGTAGCGTGCAGGGCCCCAAGTGTGCGGTTTCGTAAGGTACCCTCCCCGCACCCTCGTCTTCGCTCCACATTCTTAAGTGTCTAGAGTGGTCTTGTTTGAAATCCCAATCTTCAGAAAGAATTTTCAGACATTTTTTTTTCTTGAAGCAAATGATAAAACCGGGAGCTTTGACACTTTTTGGCCAGATTAAGTGGCAGCAAAATGTTTTAGCATCAGAAAAGGACAAATTGTTAAGCGTTTTTTTCCCTGACACGGCCAGTTTTCTTTCTCTCTCTCTCTTAAAAATACTACTTTTTTGGGTTTTTTTCGAGACGAGGACTCGCTGTGTTTCCTAGGCTGGTCTCGAACTCCTGGGTTCAAGCAGTCTTCCTGTTTTGGCCTCCCGTAGTGCTAGGATTACAGGCATGAGCCACCGCTCTTGGCTTTCAGCTTCCTTTTTAAATGTAATCTAATCATATGATTTTTCAGATAGTATTTCTTTAAAATAGGTGTTCCTACCTATTTAGCTATAGATACGAAATTCTGACCTGTAGTGCTGTATGTAGACTGGTTGAATCTCTTTGTGATCACAAGCTTAAAGCTCAAAATGGTCTTTATTATAAACATACATTGCTACGTAGTGTTGTCCAATGAAGCCTTTTTTTTTTTTTAAAGGAAAAAAAAATGTCAAGCAGTCTTAGCATTGCTGACCTAATGGCAGCTTAGATCGTGAAAAATTCTCTTTGCATTGGTATGGTTTATTTTGACAAGTAAAAAAATGCGGGAGCATGTAGCAACAATGCTACTTCTTCCTTGATGTTTTTTGCCTGTGGCAAAGCTTTGACATCTAAGGGTAGTCATTGGGTACTGTGGTGTCACGTAAAGATCTCTCACCTTTGGAGAGTGTTGCTTCTAGGTTTTGATGTTGGAATTTTAGGTGGTTGGTATTTTAAAGCTATTTTGTTTTATTGGTTATATATAACATTTAAGGTATATGTGTCTGGAAGTCTATCCATATGCAGCTTGGTATCAGTTTTACTGTGGTGTGTAATCTACGCATTTGCTCTTCATAAGTTCTTTGAATGAGGAAGTGAAATGAGTATTACGTTGTCAGTATTGGAATGGCTGAAAAGAAGTAAATGAGTAAGCATTCTTTAACAGTTCTAATTTAAAATGTGGAGTACACAAAAGGCCCTCATAATGAAATGCCTGAGAAATTTTTATAGTCATATTTAGAATCCTCTTGAGGGGCTACCACTTTAAGTCTGAATATAAGCAAGGGTAACTTTTACATTAAGATGTAGGAAAGATGTTTTCTCATGACCTGTATGGGTATTTTTGAGTGGTAACTAGATATTAATGCTATTGTAAGATTGTCATTTTTAAGGAAAGAAATGCTATTTTATTGAGGAAAAACTAACAGAAAAATATTGCTTTTCAGTGTCTTGTAAATTTAAAGGTGAAAATTGTTCCCTCTTAACTTGGGAAATACTCATAGCCTTCTAAAGTTTGGATTTAAATGAATTGAGGCTTAACCAATTAATATTCTTAAATAGTGATATTAAAATAGTGAGAATACGAGTGCCTTTATTGTAGATAGAATTTGTAATATTCAATTTTTGCATGTTTAGTGACCAAGTGTCTATTGCTTTAGATATATATCTCTTTTTAGTGTTGCTCTAAATGGACTGTATATTGTTCAGTATCCTCTCAATTATTGGTAGCTGATTGATTGAACAATCTGAGTCAGAACCAGAAGTTTGCTATAAAGACAGGGAAAGTAAACAGGGAAATAGCTTCTCCTCAACAAAACAAAGCTGACACCTCCCAAAAAGATTTAGTCCCCCCACTCCATTAAACGATTAAGCTTCATTATTTATTTATAGTGGGTTTTGTTTTTTAGAACCACTTTATTTTTACATTGATGACCATTCTTTTTTTTGAGTTGGAGTCTTACTCCATTGCCTAGGCTGGAGCGCAGTGGCACACTCACGGCCACCCCAGCGTCGACCTTCTGGGCTCCGACAATTCTTTCGTCTCAGTCTTCCAAGTAGCTGGAACTATAGGCGCGCGATACCACGCCCAGCTAGTTTTTGATTTATTGAAGAGATGAGGTCTCGCCAAGTTGCCGGGGTTGGTCTCGAGCCTGTAGGCTCAGGCAATCCACTTGCCTCAGCCTCCCAAAGTGCTGGGATTACAAGGCTGAGCCACCGAGCCTGGCCCATTGATAACCATTCTAACAGAAAGTATTCAGATTAAATGAAAGGCTGTACTTGACGAAGCCTGGCAGGGCGTTTAGTAAATGTTATTTGAGTCTGGAGCATAGTTATTAATTTTTTTAACACCATAACAGATTAAAAGATGGGTCAGTTCTAATAGAGGAGGCTCGATTTGAAAGTTAAGGGTGATGAACAGGGTAATTATAAAAATATACTAGTATAGGCCCTTTTAGTATGAGGGCTTGATGCCCTACTAACATAAAATATCTCAGGCCATCTAGTCCTAACTAAATGTAACCGATTTGCATGATGGCCTGAGTCTTCAAGTAAAAGTTAAATTTATTTCTTATAAAAAGAAAAAGTGCAAAGTATTTTAGATTATTAAAACTAGAAAATAGCTCTGGTGATTTCTATAAGTGAGTGAGTCAACAACTCATTTTCCTGTAAGATTGAATAAATTATGGAATTGGCAAATGTGAAAAGTAAAAGTGGACATGTACCGAAGGTGTCCAACATTTAGAATTAAATTATGACAAACAACAGAACAAATATATCATTAAATATCAGTGTATGTACATTTACTGATTCGAGTAATCAATAGTGCTTGTATAGATCTAATTTTTGATAGTGTTTTGGTTTTGCATTTATTCATCTATTCTTTTCTTAGAATGACCTTATGATACATTTCAAGATAAAACAGAACATTTCACTGAATTTTTGCCTTGACTATAACGCTAATGAAAATAGAAGCTTTTCCTAGAATTAAATAATTTGACTTATGTAAATATCAGAATTGTAGAGGGTGGATATTTGAAGATTTTTCAAGCTGTACCCTCTTCCATCTTTCTAATGTTGTTACTCCACAATTTTAGGTTATATTCATATTCAGAGTCTTCCTTGTATGACTAAATGTCACTCCTGTGAAAATAGTTGACTGTGATTTCATTTTCTTGTGTAACCTTTTTTCATGTCTCATTTTTTTTCATTTGCTTAGTTTTCTCTGGCAAAGTCTTTCTGTACCCTCCAGCAGCTCCATAAAATGCTTCTCAGTACAATTTTCCACATGGGCAAATCTGTCAGATAAACTTATCAGTTCCATTTGTCCTGTAGACATCCCTTCTGTAGCTGTCCTTCCTGCTTCAGTCTGGATTGTTTCCTCTTTAGGCCTGCTGCATAACTATCACCTTGGGATTTCCCTTAGCTTACATTCGGGGAATTTCTTTCACTTCTGTTGAATTCCTGTTTTCTGGATCTCATGCCTTCCTTTTGGTTTAGTTCTTCATTTTGGTTTCTTTTACTAGTACTGTGAAAGATTGCATGGAAAGTATATTTTTGGATTTTATTTTTACCCTGTGGTTGACTGTCTATTGATAGATTTCTGTGTTGGAAATAATTTTTCCTAAAAAGTTTGAAAGTGGTGTTGTTTTATTGCCCTATTTCCAGAGTTGATGTCAGGAAATCTGTTCTCCAAAAAGTCTATTGTTCTACTGTTTGGGGGATTTCAAGCCTTTCACTGAACTTAAACATTTCAGCTTTTAATAAAATAAATTTTAAGAACTCTTCTTTCCTCTGGGTGGTTTCAGTTTCTTCAGATAAAGGTCTGTCGTTTTTCTGTCTCTATATAGGTGGAATGATGTAGAGAGGAGGAATGTCTTAGTCCTTGAGCTGCCATAACAAAGTGCCATAGACTGGGTGGCTTGAGCAACAGAAATTTATTTTCTCGTAGTTTTGGAGGCTGGAAAGCCCAACATCAGTGTACCAGCATGGGCAGGTTCTTGTAAGGTCTCTTTTGTGGTCTTCGGATGGCTTCCTTCCTTCTGGGTGCTTATATGGTCTTTTTGTAGAAAGAGCTCTTTCTTTTTATAAAGCCACCAGTCCTGTTGGATTGGGACCGTGCCCTTATGACCTCATTTAATCTTACTTACCTCCTCAGTCACATAGGGCACGAAAGCTTCACCATATGAGTTTTGGGGAGACTGTTTAGTTCGCAGCAAAGACGTTGGCAGAGATGATGAGTTTTCATGGCACAGTTTTCCAGTGCTTAGTGGGAGAAGAAAGCTACATGTCTTGCCATTTCAGTTCATACATTTGCACTGTCTCCCTGTTTTCATACCAATATTTTACTTCTTCCCTTCTCTGTGTGGGGTACCCTGAGTCTGGAGCCACTGTGATTCAGTTTCTCTCTTGTTTGTGAGTGTTCTGCCATCTGTTTTTCTAGTGTCTCCAGTTTCTAAGCTTTTCTGGGTACTGCATGGTAAAGAGGATTATTTGTCATTATCTCACTCTTTCATTATGCTGAGGCGTTCACCATTCTACTATCAGGTTTTTTCTTTATACATTGCCTCAGGTTATAATTACAGTATCTCCTAGGTATATCACAGATGTATCTGTCTTTTTTTTCCGTATAGATTGGTATATATATTTATCTATATATAGTATATATATATATTATACATATATATATATATATATATATTTTTTTTTTTTTTTTT